CCTCAATATTAGTCATCGAAATAATAAAATCTGCCTGACAGACTAATCAGAAATTGGTTTTCTTTCTATAGTGTGATGACCCTATCCATGTTTATATAAATACATGATTTTAGGCAAAGCAATCATTTCAGTAATTTTCATCATTCTTCTCAAATATTAAAGACTTATGTGGACATCTTTGTAATATAGTTGTCAGTATTTCTGACACTTCCATTTTGTGACATGAGTCACAGCTTCCCATTAATTAGGTCTCTGAAAATAAAGTCCATTGCACTCTTTCTTAAAAACCTATCAGAGTACATGGGCTCCAGATGGGCCATGAATGGCCTCAGTGTGCTCTGAGACTTTTGCTGAGTCACTCCATGCTCAAGACTGTCACCAAACCAGAGTCTACATTAACTGGGTAACCATAACTCTTCCCACTCTAGTACTCCCTGAAACCCTGCCTCACCCAATTCATGTACCAAATGAGGCTTTATCAGCACCTGAACCTTAAGGGAGCCGGCAGGTGGCAGCAGGCCTCCAGGTGTCCTGGCTTTGTGCTGAGTTACCCCAGGCCTGGTACTGGTGAGTTACCCCAGGCCATTCTTGGTTTGCAGAGTCACTCTCCCACACACCTCCAGGTTTAACACATGCAGCAAACAACCAAGGGTCACTTTGTAGCTCCTACCAGCCACAGACAGTGGTTGTGACCTGGCCCTGCACTAGAGACCCTCCCAGGAGGCCCCAGAAACAATATACTTGGAGAGTGGCTTCATTCCAGAGCAGAGCACTGCCCAATTTGCCCCACAAGTGGCACACAAAAAGGGTCATCTCACCAGTTACCAGAGCTCACTGGGGCGAATCCCACTCAGTGGGATAAGCCTCCCACACAGCAGCCCATAAGCTGTGGACGTGGCCAAACCCCACAGCCAGTCAGCCTGAGGGTCAATCCCACCCACCGATGTGCCAGTAGCAATCAAGGCTCAACTATAACAGGACAGCACACACAACCCACATAAGGGACACTTTTGGAATACCCAGCTCAGGTGACCAGGGACTCTGTGCCACTGGGCCCCACAGGACACCTACTACATGAGACCAGTTGGCCAGACATAGCAGATGACTGGGAGACATAGCAGATCTACCTAATACATGAAAACAAACACAGGGAGGCAGCCAAAATGAGGAAACAAAGAAATGCATCCCAAATGAAAGAACAGGAGAAAAATCTAGAAAAAGAACTAAACAAAATGGGGGCAAGCATCCTACCAGAGACAGAGTTCAAAACAGTGGTTATAAGGATGCTCTAGGAGCTTAGGGAGAGCTTTAACAAAGAGATTGCAAACACTAAAAAAAGGACACAGAAACCATAAAAAAAAAAAGTCAGAAGTGAAGAATACAAGAACGGAAATGAAGAATGCATTAGAATGAATCACCAGCAGACTACATGAAGCAGAAGACTGAATCAGCAATTTGGAAGACAAGGTAGCAGAAAACACCCAATTGGAACAGCAAAAAAAAAAAAAAAACGAATAAAAAAAAACAGAGACCTCTGGGACAATATCAAATGTAGCAACATTCACATCACAAAAGTACCAGAAGGAGAAGAAAAAAAGCAAGAGACTGAGAACCTATTTGAAGAAATAAGGATGGAAAACTTTCCTAACCAGGCAAAGGAAATAGACATACAAACACAGAGAGTCCCAGACAGGATGAACCCAAACAGGCCCACACCTTAGACACATTATAATTAGAATGGCAAATGTTAAAGAGAGAATCCTAAAAGCAGCAAGAGAAAAGTAACCAGTAACTTATGAAAACTCCCATAAGACAGAGCTGATTTCTCAACAGACACTTTGTAGGCCAGAAGGGATTGGCACAAACTATTCAATGTGATGGAAAGCAAGGACATACAACCAAGACTATGCTACCCAGCAAGGCTAGTATTTAAAATCAAAGAACAGATAAAGAGCTTCCCAGACAAGAAAAAGCTAAATGAGTTCATCACCACCAAACCAGCATTACAAGGAATGTTAGAGGAACTTAAGGTGGAAAAAAGAAATAAAAATTATGAATAATAAAATGACAATAGCTACATATCTATCAATAATTTCTTTCCATATAAATGGATTAAATGTTTCAATCAAAAGACAAAGGAGGGCTGAATGAATAAGAAAACAAAACTCTTACATATGCTGCCTACAAGAGACTCACTTCGGATAGAAAGACACATAGAGACAGAAAGTAAAGGGATAGAAAAAGATATTTCATGAAAATGGAAATAAAAAACAAAAAAACAAAAAAAGTTGGAGTAGCAATACTTATAACAGACAAAATAGACTTTAAAACAAAGGCTATAACAAAAGATAATGAAGGACCCAATAATCCTAATTAAGGGTACTTATCCAAAGAAACCCAAAACACTACTTCAAGGGAATGTGTGCATCCATATGTTCATTGCAGCATTATTTACAATGGCCAAGAGATGGAAGCAGCCTGAATGTCTGTTGATAGATGAATGGATAAAGAGGAGGTGGTACATATATACAATGGAATAGTGCTTAGCCATGGAAGGGAATGGGTTCTTGACATCCGTGGCAGCATGGATGGACCTAGAGGGTGTTGTGCTGAGTGGAGCATGTCAGACAGTGAAAAACAGATGCAATGTGATTTTGCTTATATGTATGTGGACTCTAAAGAACAAAATTAACCAACAAAACAGAAACAAACTCATAGACACAGAAAACATTTTGATGGTTGCCAGATGGGAGGGGGGTCAGGGGTATGGTAAAAAGTACAAATTGGGTGTTACAAAGTAGCTATGGGGATGTAGGTTATACCATAATGGATATAGTCAATAATATTGTAATAACTATGTATGGTGTCAGATGGGTACTAGATTTATTGGGATGATAGATAGGAGGAGGTTGGGGAACAGGGTGAAAAAGGTGAAGGGATTATGTACAAATTGGTAGTTACAAAGTAGTCGTAGGGATGTAAAGTAAAGTCCAGAGAATATAGTCAATGATATGGTAATAACTATGTATTGTGCCAGGTGGGTACTAGACTTGTCAGAAGGATCACTTCATAAATGTCTAACTGCTATGCTACACACCTGAAATTAATATAAAATAATACTGAATATCAACTGTAATTGACAAATTTTAAAAAGGGGGGAAAGGGAAAGGGAAATAAGAGACCCAAATTTCCAGGTATAAAACAAATAGGTCATGGGGATATATATAATGTACAGCATAGGGAATATAGTCAATAATACTGTGATAACATAATACAGTGTCAGATGGTTGCTGGACTCATCATGGTAATCACTTACTTAGGTATATAAATGTTGAATAACTATCATGTACATCTGAAACTAATATTGTATGTTAGCTGTATTTTTAATAAAAGTCTTAAACACAAGTTTTACTGTGGACATAACATTTATTATATAATTGAACATAATCTGAGATAAACCACAATAAATAATCATAATATGCTGATTACAGAATTGAAAAGTTCATTTAACTACTGATAACATACCTAAATGTTACTCCAACTTAAAGATCATTTATTTCTATTTTAAGGTAAAAGTAAACTTAATACAAAAAGGTATTAAAGTATTAAAATTTTTAAACTGTAGAATAATGTGAGAAGGACCATAAATGTTCACTGCCCCAAATTCCCAGAAGATGCAATAATTTAACCCACAATAATCTTGCAAGTTCAAGCTCGTTTAATACAGTGCTGGGAATCAGTGTCTAAGTCAGCTCACACCATCTTTGGTTTTCAACAATTTTCTTTATATGATATAAACCTGTTTTCTTTTTTTAAGCTGAGCCATCGTGCCACTTGTTGGCAGCTCAGCGGCTGCTCAGCTCGGGCTGGGAATCGAACCGCTGTTGCTCAGAGCTCAAACTCTTAGAGCGAGCTCTTAACCAACTGAGCCACTCGGCCGGCCCGGACAAAACTGTTTTCTTAAAAACTTCTGTCCATGAAGTATAAGAATACGTAAATACATGATGTAGTCATCTGACAGTATCAACTTAAATATAATTGCATGTAGCATGATTTCTATATGATGTGATGATTTTATAACAATGAATTTTCGCTCTTTTTCAGCATTCTCACCTCTAAAACATACTAATTAACCATTTCTTATATAAAACAAATGTTTACCTAACGAATATTAAGTTTCTTAGATATAATATTGTAATAATATTTTGTAATATTCATGTTCTCAGCCCTCTGGAAATCAAGCTAATTTGGTTTCATTATGATGAGCTCTTATATCTACAAGTCGTTCTTTATATGAAGTCAAACCAGTCAGAAGGTTGAATGAGTTCCACTCTCCTTACTGATTAACCTGAGGCTGCTGGTTGAATGTCTTTTCCAGCAAACCAATGTATCGGGGCATACAACCATCTCTTTCCTTAAATCTCTCAGCCTCCTTCTCTCCTCTTCTACTTTAGTTCTCCCACTTAGCCTGGAAGCAAACAACAGCTGGCGAAAAGCTGTTGAGAAGCAAACAACCACAGGAGAACTCTAAAAACAACCCCATGAAATGAAAGCTAATTTTTATCCTCTCGCAGAAAATTGTAACCAAGAAAATGCCACCACTGCATCCTAGTATACTTCTTAGGGAAATACTCACACCTTTCAATTCATTTCAACAATTATTTACCAAGTGTCAGGCACTGGACTAGGACCCAGGCCTTGGCCTAAGGCTGCAGTTACAATAAGTACAACTTGTGACATTCTCTTCCTTAAAAGTTAGCAGTACTAACGAGCACTCCTGTTCAGTCACAGAGTGAACAGTGAGGCAACACATGTCCCATGTTGCATAGTCTCAGAGCCCTAATGAGACTTTTGCGTTTTCCCAAGAGGTGATGCATGTAAATAGTGTTACCCTCAGTTTACATATGAGAGTTAAACAGCTTGAACCTCAGTTTACACATGAGGTTTTAACAAGAGTCAATTAAAAGACTGAAAATTATCTTATTAAAAATAATTCACCATAAAGAAAAATCATTTGCTTTATTATAAAAATGACAAGGTCAACAAGAGTATAAATTAGATATATAATTATATAAACTGGAAGACAGAAAATTTACATTTGAACACCATTCCAGTAACGGGCAGTTTAATATATCCAATGTAATAAAAATTTATGATATTAAAAATATCTACACTTGGGAATCATAAAAAAGAAAGCAAAGAAAGGAATTCTGCTTGCCCACTCAGTAACTCACAAAGATTTACAATTCCCAGAAACTGATCTCAGAAAGAGAGCAATGTTACATTTTCTATGAACACAAGTTGTGAAATACTATAGATCGTGCCTTACATAATATTGCTTGATGCAATCTGCATAGGAATTATGATCAAGATTCATAATTGCACAAATCTGAAAGGCCTTACATTCTGCGTTGCAAATTACACTGCTGTCATAACTCACAAAGAAGTGATTATAGTATTTTATAAATTTCTTACTGTCTGGGATTGCAAATTGCTTAGCTAATCCATGCAAACTTTTTGGCTGCAAATCTTCAATGTCGTAGGTCTGGGTCAGGATATATTCCAGCTTCCAGTTGGCTACTCCCTTTAGATTAGCATCTGTCAGGTTCAAATAAAACTGCAACATATCCTACGGTTAAAAACAGTAACAAACCCTGGTTCACATTTTGGCTTGTAAAGTACTGCACAGTAAGAGGAGTCCTTAATAGGGTTTATGTGACATTCTTAAAGTTGCGGTCATTAAAAAAGTCAGACTTGGTTTTAAGCAAAAAGAATCCTGATAGAAGATCTACATTCTTTTTTCACCTTAAAAATAATGAAAGAATATAATAGAAAATAAGCTAAACTATAGAGAGATATACAAAATACAAAGCCTTCAATTCACATACATCAGAAGTAGCCACTGCCAATAGTTTTGTACACATCAGTGTATGCTGGAGGTGTCTTGTACCAACACACAAGAGCTGATTGTCAAATTTTCAGGAATCCTGTGAATTGGTTGATGTTACACTGGCAGCTTGAAATTGGTCATGATGAAAGTATTGACATCATGGAAATTGGCAAACACTACAAATCAAAGAGTTTTCTTCCCCCAGTGAACAGGTTGTTAAACATTTACCAGCACTTCAGTGTAGGTGTGTTGTTCTTGACTTTATGTACAAAACAAATATAAATATTTAGACTATATGTACCCATTTACTATCTTTCTGGCTGTTTTTAAAAAAATGAAGTCATACTATAAAAACTGTTTTGCGCTTTAAAAAATTATTTAGTGCTCTATAGGGAACATCATTAGATGTTGGTACATATATACACATATACATACATGTACATATGTGTGTGTATGTGTATGTGTGTATCTGAGGTTCAGATCCAAAAATAGGCAACTAATAGTTATAAAAGAATTCCTTTGGACTAGTTTATCTATTAATTATTTTATTTCCTTTTTTAATCTAATATTTACACATTAAACTATATTTTCCTAGACCTACCTCCTTTGTAAAAACATGCTCTAGAAAATGAGAGCTACCCCCTGTTAAAATTTTTCTAGGAAAAAAATCTAGTTAGCTTAATAGAGACTTCAATTGAGAAATTCTTTTCAAATCATATTTGTTGAAAGGGACACAACCCATAAGTTAAATGCACAACCTTTTGATGCTAAATTGATCTAAAGCACAGAATCATATATAAGCTCCACAGAACTTTTGTCACAAAGATAAATGTTCAACTCAACTTGTTTTCTTTACAAAATGTTTAACCAATATTTATTGAGCCCTTACTATGAGCCAAGCATTTTTCTAAGTGCTTTGTATATGTTTGTTCATATAATTCTCACAGCAACTTGGTGAAGTAAGTAATACTTTAATCCCTCTTTTACAGAAGCATAGACTGGGACCGAGAAGTTATGTAAGACAGCTTATGAAAGAGTAGGGGTTCAGAACCTATATTCTTCCTCACAGCTGTGTTCTAAAGAAGAGTAATTAATAACCAATATGGCTTAGTGAAAGTTTCAACAGGCATACAAAGTCTACAGATAAGGCACTACCCAATGAAACTTCCCTCTAAACAAATGAGAAGTCTTTAGAAGAGATTTAGAGAAACACCATTCTAAAGACTGACATCATAAACTCACACTTAGAAAGTACTGACATTCCAAACAAAAAAGAAGACGTAAGATTTTTAACACGAAATACAACTCACATGGCTGCAGCGAAAACATTCAAGTAAAGTAATAAAAATTACAAAGACATGCACAAGTATGGGGTCAGTTTTAAAATTGTGCCAACTCACCAATAATTTATAATCACGAGGATCATACTGAAATAGCCTGATACCAGGATTGTTGGTCTGTTTTTGTAAAACACTCTTCACTGGGGTAACAGCAGGAGCCACAAACAAAGAATTTATTGGATTTCCTGGACAAAACATATGTACATAAACATATTCTTTTAGAAACTGAGTTTAACTGCATTAAAATTATGAACAAGTTTCAGATTAAGAGATTAACAGATATAACAGCCAAATGACGTCTGGTCCTTGATGGATCCTGACTTGAAACAACTGTAAAAAGATACTTTTGAGATAATAGGGGAATTTTCATTATGGACTGGTATTAAATGATACCCCAGAGTTAGCATTGATTTTGTTTAGGTAAGTTAATGGTATTATGATTATGTAAATTACCTATATATTTTAGCAATGCATACAGAAGCATGTAGGGCTGACACAGATCTGTTGTTTGAGATTCACTTTGAAACACTTCAGAAAAAAATGCAAGGCTTAAAAATGAAGAGGTAAAGTAAATGTGGAAAAATCCTGATAGACGTTAAATAAACAAGTGATGGAACCTGGGGGTTTGTTTCATCATTCTCTCTGCTTTTATATATTTGAAATTTTTTATTAAAATAATTCAAGTTATTACAAGTACACACACACACAAATACAAAACTAGTTTGTTCTGTACCTGTACCTGAGACAATATCCCAATAATGACATAATAAGAATTTTATTAAAGTGCCACCATGTTTTATACATATCATAGAACTAAATTTCTTTCTAAGTAAAAAAAGCTATCAAATGCTGGAAAATGGTAATTTCTACCAGCATTTCAAAACTGTTCCCCAATTATTGAAAAAAATACATATTGGTTTTTCTCTTGGCTGACTACTATATAATCAGAATTCTTATTTTGTTAACTCAGTTTTCTGCCCTCATGCAGATGAAATTTTTACACATAGATAATCACTGTTTCCTTTGATCCTAGAGTTTAGCCTTCCTTTTTTTTTTTCTTTTAAGGCTGAGTAGATAACAATGTCGATAAGTACTTAAAATAGTTTAATATGTTTTATTTTAAACCAATGGTAAAATAAATCACGCTTNCAGGTAAATATCAAACAGTGATATTTCTGTAAACTTGAGGATCTAAAAGAAAATTGGAGTGATCTGAAGGTTTCAAAGGCTTTTGTGTTGACAGCAGTCAAAGGACAGCGGTCCTGTGGCGCTAACAGGAAGAAACCCAACTGCCCCACTATGATTTGGCCCCTCACCATACAATTATGGAAGGTAATTAAGTAAAAGCTAGTGTTGGCAGGTCGACTGCAGGAAATATTTAATTTGCTAAATCAGCAAAAATTACTGGGGATTCTCGGCTTTACTCTAGCAATCTGGATGGGGGAAACACAAACAAAACATCAGATTACCTTCTTTATCTGAAAGAATCATAATGCTATCTCTGTGCGTGTGTCCATAAAATTGTCCTGTAATGATATTACTGTATTTTCTAAAAATGTCTATCAATTTTTCATTATAGTATTCTCTCATGGCTGTAGTGCTCATTGAATAGGGCAGATACCCCACTGGAATATGAGCTATGATGTACACCTGGGGAAAGAAACACAAGGACTGATGAAGTCTTCTTGCACACTGGTCATAACTAAATGCCGTTTAGATACCCAAGATTAAAAGTATATTAATTAAAATTTAGAAAGCAAATATACTCTTATTACCAAAAGAAGATGAAATTAGGAAACTATTAGTTTGCACTTGTCTCATCTAAACTACACTGTTGATAATATAAGGTAACTGTGACAGTGGTCACAATGTTCTTTATATTAGACTCTTTTTATATCCACTGATGTTAATCAATTCTCAAAACATTAAAAGGAAAACAAAATAAAACAAACAATGACAGAGATAAATCATAAGGTGTTTCATGTGAAAACATCTTCAAATTTTAACTTTTATTAATACCTGACCCCCCTCAAGTTTAAAAAATATACAAATTCAACCCTCCTTTTATCCCTGATGCTTTTGATCTATGAAACCTACCTTCTCCTTATTTTGCTGAGAGACATTCAGTGTATTTTCTAGCCATTCAAACTGACTTGCTGGGTCAGTCTTATTCAGGGTGACGACATCCGGGCCGTAGTATAAGTTTGTGTTTAGACTGATGATCCTAAGGTTCGGATTAGTTGAAACTTTCTGTGAATAAAAACCACCTATAAAAACAAATTTAAAACACATTCTAGAAAAACACACACAGAGAGATGCAGTCA